CCATGGGAGGGGGGGGATTAGCCTTTGGAATTTATGACGCACCTAACTGTACAGGCAGTTTCCACTGACATGCTTCTGCTGTGCCCAGATAACTACAATCAAACCCCTCCTTAGCTTGCAAGGGTTGGCCTTGTGCCATCTCTTTGGAGGTGATGTGAGGCATACAGGAGCCCGAGTCTTGGCAGTGACCAAAGAGGAGACTTCAGGCAAAAGGAAATTCAATGTCCTGTGGAGGAGAGAGTTTTCCTTTCCTCTAGGATTTGAGGAACATGCTACGCTAATCCAAGACACTTTGGCACCAGGATTTATCACCACCACCACCAGGACAGCAGGATTTAAAAAAAAAAAAAAAAAAAAACTGAAATAATTTCAGAATCCAATAGTCTCAATGATGCTGAAATGACCAGCCATGAACACTGGAAATATGGTGTTACGGCACATTATGATTTAGTAACCAAATAGGCCATTTCTCATGCACTGGTAAACACTTCATTCCACAGACACATCGAATAAAACCTGTAAAGTGAACTGATATCATCCAACTCCCAACACAAATTTCTCATGATGGGACCTCTGCCGATAAGTAAAATACAAAGCCTCCAGTTAAATAGTGTTTTTTTTTTTAAAAAAAAAAAAAAGACAGACAAAGCTATGAAAAAACTAGGATAATATCTCAGGGAGGATTTGACATTATCCAGCAAAATTACATCAGGATTTTCCCTTTGACCCAGCCACGGATCCCTAAGGATCTATTTCAAAGATAAACCGCAAGAATGCAAAGGGGACCTAGGCACAAAGCTACTCTCAGGACACTGCTTGTTTTAACAGCAAAAGGCAGGAAACAGCCCAGGTGTCCCTCAGTTAAAATGTGGCTGGATAACCCAGGGCTCACGTGCACAATGGGTTAGTGAGGAACAGCGCCCCCTGCCCCTGTGGATGGTTTCTAGGAGGCAGAGTTAGTGAAAGGGCAAGAGCAAGGACAGGGTCCATGGGACGGGAGCATTGCCTACACAGCCAGGTTGTGGTGGGACACACAAAACCAAGAATCCTAAACAAGACTAGAGTAAAGGAAAGCGCAATTGGGGTGCAGAACGGGCTGAGTTAGAAGCCAGGCAAGTGCTCCATTGAGGTCCAGCAAGACGGAGCCTTCCAGAATCAAAGGAGCTTTCTTTGGGGAGTGAGAAGCAGGATGGAGGTGAACGAATCCAGATGAGGGTGGCCGGACCTTTTGTAAGTCCCTGGGGATGTTCAGGTCAGGAGGCAAACTGGCCAACCTTGTATTTCTCGAACATTGACAGGTATGGTTGGATTCCAGGAAACAGTCAATCAATTCTTTAAATGAAGTGTGAGTGGCAACTGACCCTGCCAGAAAGCTCTCCAAGGCTTAGGCAAAGCATTTTTCTTTTTGCCATTCTGCAGCCATTTGCGTTTTTATGTGATCAGAAGGAATGATGGGAACCCCACAGCTCCAGTCACCAAAGGGTCGAGGGCAAGCAGCAAGGTCCCTGAGCAGAATTCCAGAGTTCCTGTTCTTCCTTTCCTGTGCTAGTCCTAAACCCTGAGTTCTTCGGTGGTGGTCTTCTCTGTCCTCTGTAGGTTTCGACTCCTAAGCCCACCCACCATGGTGGTTTATAGCTTGGTGGCCCGAACCTTTCTTCCCAGTGTCATTAGACCACCCTGAGCTATTCACCAGGCTTGTTTGCTGGGGCCATTTTATGAGGTCCCAAAAGATAATGGGAAATCAGGACTTGCAGAATGAAATCAATGAAAACAGGGACAATTCTTTTGTTATAACTTTTGCGATCTCAAATTAAGCTGCACCCCGTAATTTGCATCTGGAGAGAAAGTCCAACGCTCTCACCGACATCTCGGTTCATCCACAGAGGTGACAGCCACTCCTGTGGTCTTTGTGGCTCTTGCACAGCACTCCCTGTGATGAAGAGTGGCCTCTGCTCTCAGGTGGAGTGCTGTCCATCTCAGCTGTTCATGGTGACCCTGTGCTTTCTCCACCCAGTCAGGCAGGGCTGGATTGGAGAAGTCAATCCAGAGTCCATCAGCAGGTGGCGCTCTTTCGGTCAAAGATTAGTTTATGGGAGACGGAGCTGGAGTCCCCGTTGGATTTAGTCAACTCTGAAGCCTGACCCGTGTGTAGATGTATAATTGTGAGTCAATAAATCAGCCGCCGGGAGCCTGTCCAAGTTGGGATTTCTGTTCCATAGGGCCAGAAGCATCTTGATCCAGGGATCTCTGCCTTGTATTCTCTGTCCTTGAAGTCTTAAGACACATTCAGTCTTACCATGGATGACCCTTCTTGGGTGACACATGCAGGAGGCATGGGACATACCACCCACACATTTTACCCTGGTCAAGTGAGTGTGCCCCGAAAGCTTGGCTAGTGCAGCCATATTGAAATTCCAGCTACAAAAAAAAAAAAAAAAAAAAAAAAGTCTGAAAGGAAGGTCCTCACTTTTTTTTTCTGGGAGGTCATCTACTGCCACCATGTAGCCCAGCCTCCCTTCCCTTCTCTGTGTGATCAGAACAGTGGTCACCTAGGATGGGCAGACGGGTGGCTGACGAGCTAGGGCCTCCTTAGGGAGCTCTGTTGACAGTGCACAGGGACCAGGGTTTGCCTGCGCCTGCTCTCAACCCTGCAGAGTGCCTTTTACCCCTAATAATGACCCCAGCTGTGGGCTTTTGACAGCTCCTGGGGCCTTCTGGGCTACCCTCCAAGACGCTGCTTGTCTGCCATCCAGGAACTTGGGAAGCTGATTAGTAGTCAGCAGGTCGCTTGGTGAACATGAACTCAGCTCAGAGACTCATTTATCCTGGATGGGGAGAGAGGTCTGAAGACATGGCGTCTGCCTCGACAGCCCTGGTGCAGAGACTCTCCCGTCTGCTCACCTTCTCCCTGGTTCTCTGGACTCGGTGCTGGTCACATTACCTTTCTTCAGCTGTCTTACATGTAACCAGTTAAGCCAGAACCTTCTCTTAGGTTCAGTGGGTCACCTGAGAACGCCCCATAAGCCCAGAGTTTACGCTGCTGCGGAGAAGGAAGCCACAGACTCCCCATGGAGACCTCTGCGTAGCACACCTCCTCTTCTGGGTGGTGACGTTATTAGCATGGGCTTCCCGGATGCATTATCACCTCCAGCCTCGGTGACCTGCAGGAGTTAGTGTGCTCAGAGGGAGTGAAGGAGGAGGAAAACTATTTTCAAGGGAAGAATTGGCAAGGCAGAGGGATTGGTTGGCTGTGAAGGTCAGGAAGAAGGATGAATTGAAAGCGACGGAGAAGATGAGTTGCTACACCCCTGAAGGTTGGTGACCTCCATTCACAGACACTGTGAGAGACTGATCTTGTTCTGAGCTGAGGGAAATTTACTGGGATGGGAAAAGCGTCAGGGACACCAATTACTTACTGATAAATGAGAACCCAAAAGTTTCTCCAATGAACTCAGAGACAGTAAGCGAATGTGAATGTGTCAAGTTCAGCTGCTGCCACCGTCTCACATGGAGCCAAGCAAGACAGGCAAGTGGAGACAGAGATGAGCGATGAGAGAGCAGGTGCCTCAGCAGCTTTAGGTGAGCCCCTGAAGCAAGCTGTATTGCTTCATCTCAAAGTTCTTTGTTTCATGAACCTTCTTTTTGCTTCAAAAAGGAAAAGAGAATTTAAAATGGTGCTGCTACTATTGAGAACAGTTTGGTGGTCCCTTAAAAAATAAACACTGAATTATGTTATGACCCAGCAATTATGGTTTTTTTTTTTTAGTGTCTATCCCAAAGAATTGAAATCAATGACTCAAACAAATATTTGTTCACCAATTTTCACTGCCACATTATTCACAATAGTGAAAAGGTGAAAGCAGCTCAAGACTCCATTGATAGTTGAATGAATTAATAAAATGCAGGATGTAATATATAATAGAATATTATTTAGCCAGCTAGAGGAACAAAGTTCTGATATCTGCCACAATGCAGGTGGACCGTGAAAACATCGTTACATGAAATAAGTCAAACACAGAAGGGTTTGCATGATTCCTCTTTATATGAGGCAACTAGAATAGTGAAATTCATAGAGGCCGAAAGTAGGAGAGTGGCCACTAGGGCTAGGAGAGGTGAAGAGAAAGAGTTATATGTTTATGGCCACAGTCTAGGTTGAGGATATTGAAAAGGTTTTGAGTATAGATAATAATGATGATGATGCAACATTGCAAATGTATTTAATACCATTATATTGTAGTGCACAAATATCTAAAATGATATCCTATTACAAGTATCTTACCACCAATTTAAGTGACAGAAATTTATTCTTCCATAGTTCCAGAGACTAGAAGTCCAAACTGAAAGTGTTGGGAGAAAATAGAAAAGAGTATCGTGGAGGTCACCTTCACCAGTCACTGGGCGAGCAATCACTGTACTCTGATAAACCAAAGACCTTAAATCCCACGGGAATAAAGTGGAACACAAATATAAAAGGGCTGGGGTGTGGCTCAGTGGCAGAGTACTTGCCTAGCATGTGTGAGGCCCAGGGTTCCATCCCCAGCACCACACACACACACACACACACACACACACACACACACACAGGGAAGAACAATATATACTATATATATGGATGTAGTTACTCCAACATCCCTGGTGGCGGAAGATGTGCTATTTGTTGTTCCTTCAAGCTGTGGAAAGATGTGTGGCTATAAGAACTGCGCCTCTGCCCCACCCAGCAGGTCCCCTGGAGACTCTGGAGGGGACATCAGTCAGCCTGTCCCTTTCTTTGCTCCCTCCTCCTCCAACAGGCACCATGAATACATCAGGACAGTTCCATCTCTGCTCCCTCCCCAGAGACCACCTCAATTATTGCCCAGGTCCCTTGCGGGGGATGGAATCGGGGTCACTCTGTGTGGTTTGGGCTGACCTGACGGGGAAAAGTAATTTTTTCACAAAGGTCGGGGGACAGCTCTGTGACATCATGGGTCCTCTTCCATGCTAGAAGGCAGGAGAGCTAGTTCACCCAGAATCGCTTTATTTATAGGGAAGAGACCACCGAGGACGTTCAGTAGAATATTCCACACCACATGAGGCAGGGGATAAGGCTTCAAAGGGGTTTTGCCCGGTCCCCCGCTGGGTAACGCTCAAGTCCAGGGCTGGAGCAAACGTCTTCCTAGCCAAGGTGAAGGCCACTTTCCTGGCTCAGTGCATGGTGTGCGATGCCGGTCCCACACCCCCTTTACTCGAGGCTGAGAGGGGATGCTTAGCTCTCGGGCCGGGCGGCCTCCCACACTCGAAGATGCCTTGAGGCCTCACATTCCATGAAGAACATCCCGGGACCCCATTAAGAGATCTGGCATCAGGTGACGGGAAGGTCTAAGTGGAGCGACTTCAGGTCTCAGTGTGCCACTTGTGTAAATGCATGTTTCTGGATACCATGCCCAGAAATTTCAGGCTGGTGAATCTAGGAACCTGGGCTCAGGAGTCTGAATGTTGACCAGGTGTCTCCACAATCAGAGGTACATGGTCACTGCATCCAGTTCAGTAAATCCCGCCTGGAGGGAAAGCAACCTTTGTCAAAAGCTCTTACCTCAGTATTTCAAGGCTGTGTCCAGACAGGTTGGTCAGATGGACACACACCATGATCCCTGTTGTGCTGGGACTCTCAGGGTGGCCTCAGTGACCCTGGCTAATGGCCCCCACAGTGTGGTGGAGGTCACCTTCACCAGACACTGGCACCCCATAACCATGCCCTCCCTCTTCCTTCCTCTACTCAGGACATCTGAGCCCTGTTGCAAATACCACCCATATTTGTACTATCTGGTCATCAGAGGGCGACCAAACTCCTGGTCTTTGTCAGAGGAGCAACGAAGTCCACTACCTCTGGGTGGACTCTAACAGCCCTGGGTTGGTACTAATCGGCTTTGAATTTTCCACTTCAGAATCCATTCTCTATGTCCTCGACCCTGCATGCAAAGCAGGTGAATTCTTCTGAGTCTGGGCAGGGATGGGTGCTATAGGCCTCTGGGAACTTCCAGTGCCACTGTGACCTCTAGTGCCTTGAGTCAGGGTTCACCTTCTCAAGTGCACATCGTATCATGGATTTGATAGTTCTCTCTGTTTCAGGCAACTCCTCTTGCCATTACAGGAACCGGCCTATCTTAAGAGGAAGTGGATTTAATACAGGAGTTATGTACTTATATTCAGAAGACGCAGAGAAACAGACTACAGAAGAGGCCTCCAGGACAGACTCCTGAAATAGCACCCCATATCTTAGTCCATTTTCTGTTGCTACAACAGAACACCCGAGGCTGGAAAACTTATAAAGAACAGAGACTTGTTTTGGCTCCTGGTTCAGGAGGTTCGGAGGTCCAAGAGCATGGAATCAGCAGCTGCTTGGCTTCTGGTAAGGGTCTTATGGCAGAAAAACAGATGGGCATGCAGGTGCATGGGAGATAGACAAAACCAGTGCCCCTTAAGGATCTAAGCACCTGGATGGGCCCCACCTCCCACCACCACCTCAGTGGCCATCCTGTCAACACAACCGTCAGAGGAGCAAGCCATGTTCAAGCCATAGCAGCCCAGAAGTAACCCACCAGGGAAGCTGCTTGTTCTAACTCAAGCAGAAATTTCCAGAATCGGGTAGTAGCACAGCCCTGGAATCTCCGAATTGAAGTAACCCCTCGACTGTTAAGGGGGTCGGGGGCTGCCATGCAGCGCTTGCCCCTCCTCACTGGCTAGATCTGCACAAGCCATGGCCGGCACCGCCTGTCCCGCCTCCCTTCACGCTTAGTGCAGTTCCAGCTTCAGCGGCCCCCTGGCTGCGGTGCCCTATTTCAAAGGCAGCCTGGGAGATGCTGCGTTGGTGCTTAAACCAGAGGGAAAGGGCAGGAACGGGTGGGTGAGCTCTGTCCCGCTTGCTGTGAGGCTGCAGCCAGACCCCTCCTCCCCCTCTCCCCCCTCCCCCTCGTCGTGCACTCGGAGTCCACTCTGCACGCGTTTGCTGCCACTTACTGCACCGGGAGGTCAGTGATGTGGCACGGTCCCCTTCCCCCTCGGGGGGCTTCTGGACTGCCCACTGGACTGAATTGTCGCCCCCCCTCATCCAAATTTGTACAGAAAAGTCCTCACCCTCACTGCCACTGGATTTAGAGATGTGGGTTTTAGGAGGTGATTTAAGTTAAACGAGGTCATAGGGCAGGATCCTAAAGTGATAGGACAGGTGACCTTACCAGAAGAGAAACAGACTCCAGAGCTCTCAGTGTCTGCACAGGCTCAGGGGAAGGACCCTGTGAGAGGCCTCAAGCAGGCAGCCATCCGCATGCTAAGGGGAAGGTGCTCACCAGGCACCAAATGAAGCTCGATGGGGTCTCCAGCCTCCGGAACAAGCCGGAATCCATTTCTGCTGTTTAATCCTCCCCGACCGTGGTGCTTTGTTATGACAGACTCGGTCCACCAGGGGTCAGGCAAGAGCACAGGCAGCTCTAACACAGGGCCCCAGGGGCAAGCATGCTGGGCTTGGAGACCCAAGAGGGGGACAGCTTCATAAGTGTGGGGGCCAAAGAAGGCGTCTGAGGACCTGAGGGAACAATACGTTCCAAGATCTAGAGGGGAAAGAGACCTTGGCATGTTCTGACCACAGCAAGCAAGTCAACAAGACTAGAGAGATCCTATTTCTAGGGTATTTGCAGAGGGAGAGGCGAGTGGTTGGCTAGAGCAATGACCCTTGGTAGGACTGAATTATTGGAAGGACTCTTAGGCCCTCACAGGAGTCCCCACACAGGGCTTTAATGAACACAGGATACAGCCCCGCAGGAAAAAGGAACTGGAGGCCACCCTGTGGACGGGAAACTCCCAGACACAGACCCTGCTGCCCTTTCTCATTTGCATGCAGGGCACCTGGTCTTCAGATGGCACAACCCTCAAGGGGTGTGTGTGTGTGTGTGTGTGTGTGTGCATGATCTGGATTGTGAGGGAGCCATGGCAAAGTGTCAGCTGGGCTTCTCCTAGCCAGAGCAGGCTGCGTAACTATTTAAAGCAGATGGATCTACGCATGCCTCAAACTAGCCCCTGAAGCCCAGGAGAGTGGCCAACTTTAGGTAGCACCTAATAAACCACTCACTAGCTCATCTCATTTTCGTCCTGTTGAAGAGTTGGCTCCAGATGGGGTGGCCAACCCTCCCAGATTTCCCAGGCTTGGGAGGCATTTTCCAGACGCCAGAACTTTCCATGTGAATCCTGGAAAGCTGCAGAAACGGTTTTATCTGACACACTACTTTAGTGTATTTGGATCTACCGGGCCCTGGGAGCTGCAGGTAGAGGTTCTGTAGGTGCCCCGCACTCTCAGGCCACGAAGGTCTCCCTGCAAGCACCTTTCACTAGCCCCAGCACGGGGACAGGCTGCAGGTGCTGCGCAGTTCTGCCTCTAGCAAAGGTCCTCATGGGGAAGTCAGAGGGTGTGCACCCTGAGTCCTCACCCAGTGTGTGTGTGTGTGTGTGTGTGTGTGTGTGTGTGTGCTTCATGCATCTCCAGTCTCCCACGGGGCTCTGTTGCTCCTGGATGCACTGGCTGCTTCCCCGCCTCCTCATCCCCCCCCCAACATTTCCAGAAACACTTTCCTGCACTAACTTCAGGACTGTTGTGGGGGAGCCCAGGCAAAGACATGGTGCTGAGGATGCCGGACTCTATATGAAGTCAGTGAAGGAAAATAAGTTGGGAAGTGACACCGTGTGTTTGAATTTTATTGAGCAAATAATAAAGCCTGCATTTTAGGTAGGATGCCACGGTGGGCAGGATAATGGTCCCCCAACACGTTCACGTCCTGATTCCTAGAATATGGGAATACACACAAGACCAAGGGGAATTCAGGTTGTACGTAAAACTACAGGTGCCCATCATCTGACTGTAAAATGAAGAGACTTATCCTGAACCACCCAGACAGGGTCAGTGTACACATAAGTGCCCTCAAAAGATGAGAGAAGGCGGCAGAAGAGTTTTCAGTGGGAGAAAGAGACAAAAACAGATGTTGGAGTGATGTGACCGCAGGCTTTGAAGCTGGCAGGGAAGCCAGCCAGAGAACACGGCTGGGTTCTCTCCTCGGCTGGAAAACGGATTCTGCTTCTGGGAAGACCCCGCAGGTACCTTGATTTTAGTGAGACCCAGTTTATTCACCCATTTTCTGTTGCCATTAACACCACACCAGAAACAAAGTTTTTAAAGAAAAGAGGTTTATTTGAGCTCAATCTGAAGGCCCAAGGCTAAGGGGCCCTTGATGGAAGAGTCCCAGGTCAGCACAGGGCATCACACGGTGAGACAAGAAGCTCCATACTTGTGTGGGTGTGTGCATGGGGCAGGTGTATGTGTGTGTCCTCTCTCTCCCTCTCTCTGTCTCTCTCTCTCTCTGTCTCTCTCTTGTAAAACCTCCAGGATGACCTTACTGAAAACTAACCCCCTCCCAAAGGTTTCACCTCTCCACACCACAGCTGGATTACATCCCCTCCTCTTGCTACCTCCAGGTGGGGATTAAATTTCAACACAGGAGGCCTTTGGGGACCCTGAACCCATATACAATCCACAGCCGTTGGTAAGTTTCATTTCGGACTTCAAATTCCAGAGCTGTAAAAACTTAGTGTGTTGACTTAAACCACTGGGTTTGTAGCCACTTGTTACTGCAGCGATAGGAAACTCATGCAGACCCTAGGCCAGAAATGGGGTCATTAAAGATATTTTATTTACACACCTCCCATAAAAAGTGGTGTCAGGTGTGGTGGAGGAAACCAAAGCCACAAGGTGGGACAGGAGTGGGGGCAGGTGATGCAGGTCCTGGCTCTGGCCCTGCCACCAGGGCCATCAGTGGTGGCGGCTCCAGTGCCTGAGGCTCTAGCACCTGCTCTGCCAACCCACAGGGCACAGCAGCGTGGCTTTTAGGGACCTGCTTCTCTCTCTCTCTCTCTCTTTGACTTCTCTGTCACCTCTCTCCCCTGATCCTACAATCCAACTCTAGGGCAGCTCTGAGATGTCACTCAGGAGCTGTGTCACACACACGTTGGTTGCTTCCACTTGTGACGTGGAGTGAGAGCTGGGCCATACCCACAAGCACCTTCAATAGTCTCAGAACCTCGGAACATGTTTTCAGATCCAGCAAGAAGCCTTTAGTGCATTCGCTTGGAGTCTGCGCACTTTGATGACACAGCCCACTTTGAATTAGGAACCTCACTGATTGGCTTCAAGGTCAAGGTGTGATGACAGTTGTTCAGCCTGGCAGCAGAGAGCAGTGGTTCCACCTCAGCCAAGTTGTTCAAACACAGAGTTCCCGCTCATGCTCCAGCAGAGGGAACAAGTTCTAATATGCCACCAGCAGTTGAGGAGCGGCTGGGGTGCCACCTCAGTCCCCTGACTCCTGAGTCAATTTGTGGGCAGAAAAACACACCAGCTGTTTTTCCTGTTTCAAAACAACTGGCCCTTAATGGAGCAGAAGCAGCTCAGCAGAGATTCTCCTTAACTCAAAGGAACCTAAACTCACAGCCACACCAAAGGGACAGCTCTGTGTGACCCTGATGTGACCTGGTACACCAGACCTAAGTGACTATGGCACACGGCAGGAGGAGGCCATGCCTGCTGAATTACTCCAAAAAGCAATTAGGCAAAAAAAAAAGTTTTGCAGTAGTCACGCCTAGTATCTTATTTGGAAATGTGACCTTATTTGGAAATAGGGTCTTTGCAGATGTCATCAGCTTAAATCGAGGTTCGGCTACACTGGAGGGTGGGGTGAGGGAAAGTGCAATGATTGGCGTCCCTATAAGTAGAGGGAGATTTGGAGACAGAGACACACGGGAGGAGAAGGCCATGTGAGGACCGAAGCAGAGCCTGGAGTGGTGGATAGAGAGGCCAAGGAATGCCAGGAGCCACCAAGGCTGGAAGGCGCCAGGAAGGATCCTCCCTTAGGGCCTTCAGAGGGAGTGTGGGCCGCCAGCCTCCAGCCTCCAGAACTGTCAGAGCGTTTCTTTCCATTGTTGGTGGCAGTGTGTTACAGCAGCCCCAGGAACCTGACTCCCAGGTGATCTGGGAGTCCCCGTGGCACCCCGAGGAGCAGCAGGGGCTGTGACTTCAGGGAGGAGATCACTGATCTTGTCACGATCTTTGCAGCTTTTTTCTCTCTGGAGCGTCCTGTGGTTGGAATTGTATGTAGCCCTGTCAGATTGGCGTCTTTTACTGGGTTCCCTTCATGGTCGGATTTCTCCTGTGGGGGCAAAGTGACCTGGAAGCAGCCCCTCCCCGCCAGCTACCGTCCACCTGAGGCTGCTG